TCCTCGTCTTTGCCACTGACGTCCATCATGAGGATGGTGGCCTCGTCGCCGCACAATCCACATCCGTCATCATCTTCAACTTCTAAAATAGGATTGCCAATGACAATGGTCATATGCCCAGCCGGGGCGGGCAGGTTTCCCTGCTGCAGAAGCGTCTGAGCACCGCTAGGCTGTCCCGGCGTCGGCGGCACGGCGGTCGACTCAGGCTCGTTGCCGAGCACGGCGAGCGCCTCAAGCTGAGCATAGTCATAGGAAGGCTGCCCGATGACGTTTCGCATGGCCGTGTGGTTGGGCTGTAGTCCCACCGCCTGGAGACCCCATCCCGGCAGAGGAAGCGCCTGTCCACGCATTGTGATAGCCCTCTCAAGGGCTTGGCGCCAACGCCCCTTTGCATGCCATACGTGTCGCTGCACGTCGTCAGGGAGCACGCTGTCGATGAGAGTGAGGGCCGCCAGCAGCAATTCCTAATCGTCACAGACATCGGAGTCTTGCAGCATCATGTGGCCGCTCTCAACGCTCTGTTGACTATCAGGATACTCTTCAGCTTGAGCAGCGTGCATATGCATGAGGGTCTGCAGCACCGTGTACGGTCCGTACTCGCCAGGCGCGAGCATACCAGGAGGCTTGCGAGGATTGCCTGGCACGCCCACGGTGGAGGCTTGAGCCTCCAATTCCATCAGTTCACAATAGTTCGGCGGATGCACTGGAGTAGGCCTGTTTCCAGGCATGAGGTCAGATTGCCGTCGAAGGTTGTGCTCGACCTCCGAAGGTGAGGCCTCGACAGTGACGTCCACGTCGCTGCTCTCGCAGGCCATGATGGTACCTGGATTGCCGAACATCCAGTCGAAGAAGGAAAGGGGCTGGTTTCCCAGCGTTCCGTTCTCCACAGGCGTGAGCTCGATGGCTCCGAAGACGAACCTGCGGAGGTACTCGAGGTAGCGCGCGTAGAGCCCATGGCCGCGCGCCTCGATCTCGTCCAGAGCGTCCATGTTACTGACCCAAGTGACAAATATATGCTCCACAGCCTCGAAGTCTTGGAGGCTCAGATACTCAACAGCAGGTTCACTTGAGCCTAAATGGGCTTCGGACGATCTACCCTTTCCATTCCCTTTCACTGGACAACCCTTCACAAGGTGATCGGTGCTATCACATTCATGGCACTTCAAGATCTGGCCGTCTCTACCTCGCGGGTTCCCCCGCCTGCCTTCGCCTTTGCCTGAGGCTTCCCCGCGGCCTTTTCCACGGCCTGTTCCCCCGAAGAATATCCCATCATACTGATCATCCGAAAGCCTCTAGAGGAAAGCCGCGATGCCTCGTCCGTTCAACCTTCGGCGACCCCGTTTGCCTTTGCCTTTTCCTTTGAAGCTCCTCCGTATCCTCCTTCTAACACGACGCACTGGTGTTCGTGTAAACCTCCTCCACCTACGCTTTGCTTGTTGTAATAACCAAAATAGATGCTCGGCGCGCTGATTATCACCTTCTGTTTGCATGCTATCTGACCATTCTAGTGGTTCGATGCCATCTGATGATATCGCGTCGGTGTCGGTGCCTGAGTCGAAATCGTCGTTACCTAGGTAGGTGGCCACACCGTCGTTTAGGGGGTTCGCTTCTCCCCATAGGGGGCGGTGAGGCTGAGGTTCTCTAAGAGGAGGGCTGGTTGCCCAGCTTGGTTGTGATCGACCCCTGCGAGTAGGGCAGTCGATTCTCCAGGGTCGTCGGCCCAGATGTTCGAGGGCCCGTTGCCGGGCTGAGCTTCAGTGGTTAAGGTAGGATAGAAATTTCCACTGCCAGTTCCCCTTCCAAACACTGATCCTACGTTGCCAGGGGACCGTTCTGACGCATGGCCTATCGAGCGCATCCTCTCACACTGTTCTTCATACTGTTGTTGTGTTCGGGGCATTTGGTGGTTGAGCGGTTGTGAGAGTTGCGTGGCTCGCCGGTTACCAACGCCCGGGGCGCGGAATAGGATAGTCGCGAGCAGTTGGAAGTTGGGAGGGTCAAAACCCACCGATTGCGCCCCAAGAGGGGCCATTTCGAACCGAGCAAGGGTTACGTCGATTCGTTCTCCGTGAGGCACATGGAAGTCGATGAGCTGAGTGCCTGAGGTGAGCTGGCGCTCATCTTCCAGGCGTTCGAACTCCATGCTTAGGAGGAACATAATGTATGTTGCTGGGTCGGTGTGGACACCATCGATGTCCGCACCATAGTGTATGATGTCAGGTGGTACCCTCATGGCGAGTATCCTCGCTAGGCCGCCCAGGCCGCGTTGCGTGGCGGCTGCTTGGGCTTGTGGCGTCATGCGTCCACTCGTGGCGTTAGGCCGCGCATTGACCTCGTAGACGTACTCGCGAAAGGGCACGTTGCCTTGGGGGTCCCAGTATGGGCCATGCGTTTGCCCATCGGTGCTGTTATCTCCTCGGCACATGTGTCCGATTGCCGCTCCCAGCGCAAACCAGATAATGGCAAATATAACCGACCCTAAACTGTGGAGGTATGGGTGGTTATCGGGCGCTTGCCGCGCTGAGGCAGGGCTTGCGGCGCCTTGTCAAGTCTACGAGGCGTTTTTTTTCTTGCTGGTCTCCCCGCCTACGCTTCAAGCACTGCGCTTTTGGCTCGTTGCCGAGCGGTTGGGAGTAGCGTAGTGATGAAGCGTATATGGTACCAATGTTGTCGTCTAGACGTCGTACCTCTCGTGTTGCTTCTTGCTCTTGAACTGATCCTCGTAGATGTCGGTGGAGTGGTGGCGCAGGGTAGAGATTGGTCACGAGGATCGTGCCGGGTAGCGTGAGGATAAGAAGAGCAAGAACTGACCACACGAGAGCGCGGCCAGCTCCGCTACCAAGTCTGAAATGACTCTGGTAGGTCATATTGCATCCAATTCCATGTCGTAGGAATACGATATGGGGTGTGGATGAGTAAGATAGGATAAGATCGATGTACTGATCTCTCAAGCACATAGCGAATACCGAGTCAGGTATCCGGGCAAATCGGGCGCGCGTGCCTTGAGCCATAAGACAGCGACGCGCAGGCTATACTCCCGATTATCTACAACATCTCCCAAATACCTACCTTAAAGTCAGTCATCATCAGCTTCAGGACGGGGTGAACGCGCACGGGATAACGCAACAACGTCCAAAATGTCCATGCAGGCGTTTCGGCCTCGCATGCAAGCGCGCTGATCCCCAGGAACAAAACGGTCCAAGGGTCTTCTGATGGTGAAGTTCACCGCCGCAGTCAACAGTTCAATGCTCGTGTTTCGGATGCCCAGGACTCGCGCAGCATCGGCTTCCCGATCACACTCGCCATCAGGCGTGTCAGAGGCGAGCTCACCCCTCGGCAAGAAGGCATGAAAGGTAACATTCTCCGACAAGAACAGGCCGTTGCCCGCAGGCGTCCACAGGAGGACGTCGTGCAGCAACAGAAGTCCAGAAGGAGGGGCGAGCCAGGCAGCGTAGCACAGTCTATCAATTCCAGGAGCTGAATCGCTGACACGGAGTGCAACCTTCTTCAGCGCGGCGAACGACGGTGGCGGGCAATCGTCGAAGTTGACAGGCTTGACGAACCCATCGCCATAAACAGCAACAGTTTTCGGAGGCCACGGTTTCCAAGTAAATGCCTCTCCCCCAATGCGATGTCAGAGCAGCGGCACGATCGGCGGCATCCTCGATCCTCACCTCCTCCACCACTATCGCTCTCATAATCAGTCTTCTCGAAAACGGCACCCAGAGACGAACCCTGCTATCGATGGCCTGAAGTTGCTGTCGGAGACGAGTACGCGAACTACCTGGGCCTGGTGAACAACTTTGAATTGCACTTCGTTCGGCCAGCACTGAAAAGAACCGGGTGAAGCAAGCACACCTGACCGCCGCGAATATTGATAAAGTCGGGGGCGATCTCGTGCGAGCTCAGCAATAACTCTGCATATGCACAATCTTGGCGCCACACAGCACGTGCGCTAACGCGAGCGAGAAGTAAAAGGGTCCGCGGGTCACGCGGGAACTTGAATGCCAAGAAGTTGCGGGCAACACGACTGGCTTCCTGCATGAGCAACTTATAACTCTCCAGCCTGCGGGCGGGACTCATCCAGGCAAGGTGTTCTTTTTCTCAGCTTCAACATATTTACCAATGACTGGCTTATAGGTAACCGACTTAGCGATGAGCTTCGGGATGGGGCGATCGTTCTCATTAGTGAGCTTTCGGGGGAGGAGCGTGACGACCAACGCAGCGTGATCACGTACTTTGCCTCTAGAGACCTCCTCGGGGTTGCCCACAAGTCTAGCACACGAATATGCCTGCGCAGTCATCCAGCCAGGCACAAAGCACCATAATCTGTCGATAGCAGCAACTGCATCCGCCTCCTTGTCATAGTGGGTGGCGGCAGCAGCCGAGATCTCAATGAACGAATCTTAAGTGTCACACCATTTCGGCGCCTGCGCATGCAGGGGTCGAGCGTTTCTTTGGGCCTCCGATGGCTGCGCAAAGCTTAATTGTTCCTCACATGCGAAATTGGAATCACCCGTGACAAGAGTTAAACAGCCCTCAGGATTAGCTCCAGATTCGGCCCGATCCCTGGATATCAGATTGCACACGTCCCGAACTTGGCTCGCCGTTAAATCGTGATTATGAATGTTCCAATGAATTATCTTAGCGTTTTCGCTAGATATCACTACACGCAGCACACGACCAGGAATAGGAGCAGAGTGAGAACAGGAGACTCCCAGAGGAAGAGTAGGGGTGGGATTCCCTCGGACAAGGACCCCAGGAGGAGGAGGAGGAGGAGGAGGAGGAAGAGAAGCCGACAGGACGCCAAGCGCCGCGGGCATCCAGACGCACTGAGCACGCGCGCCAGCGTGCAGGGTTGCGGCACCACGTCGAAGGAAACGGAGCGAAACGAAAGAGGAGGAGGCCCCCAAACGAGCCAAGTGCTTTGGAGTCAACAGTGACAGGCGGCCCGCCGCCCGCCCGCCGCGCGAGAGAGGGCGGCCCCCCCGTGGAGAGTCCTCGACATCCTCGTCGGAATAGTCCTCGTCGTCGGAGAACTCTTCCTCGGACTCCGACTCCTGGCGATGAGGGGCAACGTTCGGATCGAGGTTCGAGGTTCGAGTTTCGAGGCTTGCGGACGTTTTCGTCGGTCCCCCGCGGTTTTCCAGCCTCGGGATGCTTTCCAGCAGCTGCGCCTCGCCAGGAACGCTCCCTGGGTTCTAGGATCGTCCCGAATGGCCGCCGGGGGCTGGACCTATGGCGCGAAAACCTGGAGTTTCCAGGAGCCTCTGGTCGGGGGGGGACCGGCTTCGGGGGCGAAACATCGACCTGGACTCGGCGACACATCGCCCATAGCTCGACGATGGGCCCCCGACAACAAATCCGCCCGCTCTTGGGCCGTATGGGGCGACCGGGCCGCTGTCGCGGATCCATGGGTGATTGGGGGTCGATACGTTACTTCTGGGCGTATCCCCCCCAAACGTTGCGCCTGAGGCGGGGAGTATGCAAAAGAGATGCGGGGAGTATGCAAAAGAGGGCGTTGGTCCTTGACACTGCGTGGATCGCTTGACATTGAACGATCGCGGCTTTCCGATAGCTCACACGGGTCTATATGTCGGCCGATTCCTGGACACTGAAGGCGTTCAACCTTGAACGCCCGCGCCATGGTCGCTGCCGCGTCGACACGGCACTAGGCGTTTGGGAGGAGGGGAAAGGCGACCCCTCATCACCATCACAACCACCGTCATCAGCATGGCGGTCCTTTTTATCGACAAGCGCGCCAGAGCGACGTGCGTGCGCGTTGGCGCCAGGCTCACATACCCCACCCATGCGGCCCGCGACCGCATCGCAGACACTGCGTCCATGACTTATGGATGAGACGCCCCTGCGGGCCGCGACCAGCGGAAGCAGGGGCCAACGCTACCCCGAAGGGCCGCGATCCACTGCGATGTGCCGTTCGTCGGACACCCCGTCGGGCTGCGACCAGCAACGGCAGGTGCCATCGCTGCCCCGCAGGGCCGCGACCCATCGGACAGCAGGGGCCAACGCTACTCCGCAGGGCCACGATTCACCTGCAATGTGCGGGGCACTGGGCCGACCCGCCTGCGGCAAGGGGTGGGCGCCATGGGGGCCCATTGCGCCTCTAGGGCCAATGCGGCCCACCGGGGCCAGTCTCTGAGACCCCAACGACACGCTGTCCACGAGAGCGGGTACGAAATTTCCTGGCAACGAGGCAGAAAATCGAGGCCCATGTCTCCAGGCCGAACCGGCAGGGACATGGCTGCAGGTGCATTCGAACAGCTGCGACAAACCGTCGCGTTACTCGTTGCTCCTCCTCCGTGCTCCCGCACGCTGAGCCACGCATTCATCATGGCGGTCCTGTTATCGACAGACGCGCGCCGGAGCGTCGCGCGCGCGTTGGCGCCAGGCCCGCGTGCCCCAACCATGCGGCCCGCGCCCGCGTCGCAGACAGCGCGTCCATTTACCACCTCGGAACCCATGTTTACACATGACTTCGTAAGTGGCAGGGCCCGCCGAAGATTGAAGATCAGACGCCCCGTCGGGCCACGACTAGCGAATGCAGAAGCCAACGCTACCCCGAGGGGCCGCGATCAACTGCGCGCGACGTCGACCGGCACTCCTGTCGCGGCGCCGGCGGAGCCCGCGATGGAAATCCCAACGCCAATCCACTCCGCGACAGGGCCACGCGAGGCCGTGGCCCATGCCAGATGGGTGCCAAGTGCCTGCCACAGAAGAATCGGCAGGGCCAGCTTCCGCGATCGGTCCTCGCAGGTGCCACTGGCGACCATGATAGGTGTCGACGCAGCGCAGGGCCCAGACCCCGCGGCGCGCCGCGACGGCAGCGGCGGCGCGCATCAGGCGGGCCGCGCACCTTCCCCACCGGAGCGGGCCAACGATTGCGCCGAAAAGGAGGGTCGCATAGACGAAGAAATCCGGCCGGCCATGTAACTGGCCGCGGCACGCCAGGAAACGGCACTCCGCAGGGGAATCCTGGGCGCGCTCCGCGATCGCATCGACGGCGTCGGCAACCCGGGGCATGATGATGCGTTCCAGGGCGCGGGCCATCGCGTTCGCGCGAGACCTGCGCAGGTCGCGCATGAGGCGCGCCTGCTGACGCCCCGACTTCAACTTGACGAAGGCCACGCGGAACAGCAGCAGTGGGCCGAAGGCGCGCTCGAGCTCGTCGCGGGCCTCCGACCACTGGAAGGAGCCCTCCTGGCATGCGCCCTAGAATACCTGGTCGACGTCGTCGAGGTTCGCCGAGAAAGACGCGTCACTATGAAGCTCGTCGGCGAGCGGGGCCCGGACCCCCGCCTGCCCCAGGGCGCCCGCGGCCGCGCCGTCCGCGGCGGGGAAGACGCTGCAGCTGCTCAATTGGCCGAAGTATCCCCAAGGGCGTGGACGCGGCGAGCCACTCGGCGACGCCCGCCTCGGGGTCGCCGCCGCGCGCGGCCATGGCCGGGATCATGGGCGTCTTTGCCGCGGCTGCCGCGCCGCCGCTGGGAACCTGCAGCTCCGCGCAGACGTCCAATCGAGCTTCGCCGACGAGGTCGCCCGAGAAGCCGTGCCCTTTCGCGCCGAGACCCCCCATGACGCGCAGGTCCTCGTCGTCGCGGCGCGCCGGCGCTGCCTGCGACGCCTCGCGCAGCACCTCTCTCAACTACCTCAAACCACCAGGGAATTGGGCGATGGAGGCGCGCGGGTTGCGCATTCCCCCCGGCGCGCAGTCGTTCTCGAACTCCCGCCGCTGCTTCTTGAACGGCGGGGCCATCGGGCCCCGACGGGCGCCCTCGCCGAAAGTGGCGTTCAAGACCTCGCAGCGACGCGGCGGCTCCCGGGCAAACGCCTGGACGAGGGCGCAGCAGAGGCCCCGGGGGCGCGCGAGGCCCAGCGCGGCGCCCGCCAATATGGGGGGCGCGCGGGGGGCGCGCCGGCACGCCCGGGCACCGACTCGCAACTGCCCCCGCCCAGGATGCTGTCGAGAACCACCTTGTGGGCCCGCGATGCGCGGCGCCGAAGCAGCGCGGGTCACTGGCCAGCCTCTGCGCGCCGTTGCACTTGGCCAGGGCGTCGATTGACGGAAACGCCCACGCGGGCGACGACTCGGCGCCTTCCAAAGCGAAGTCACTGCCTGCGCGAGCCTGGGCGCGGCAGAGCTGCGCCGCCCGCCAAGCAAGCAAGTTAGCTGCGCGCGCCCGCTGCTGCAGACGCAGCCCGGCCCCGACGCCGCGGCAGGGCGTTCGCGCGCGGGCGACAATGCCCAGCGGTGGGGCGAAGTGTTTTCAGGCGAGCTGGTCTTTCTTGACCCTCGACAAGGTGCCGCGGAAATCCGCCAGACGGAGCAGGTGAAGGCGGGCCTCGCTGACTGCTGGCGCGCCCGCGGCCATGCATGCCGACTGGGTCCAAACCAGCCTCCGCGGCGGCAGCGACGAGGGCCGCTGCTCCAGCGCGCGCGCAGCACGGCGCGAGGGCGCCGCTGCGCTGGCGTGGCCCCGCCGCGAGCACGGCGTCGCCCAAGAGCGCGCCCTCGTTCGTGAGGGCGCCGAGGAACCGGGCCGACCTTCGCTGACGGGCTTCCGCAGTCGCCATCGAGACGACGGCGGTGAGACAGAGCATCAGACAGCGAATTCTCCGCGGCAGCGTAGCATTCCACCGCGGCGTCGCAGTGTCGCTTGCGTTCGCCCACCAGGGCTGACCGCAACGGCGCCTCCGCCTTGGAGTCGACGGGAATACAGCGCCTGCCGCCGCCCGCGGGCGGATTCCAGCCAGGATGCTGGGGGCGGCGCGCGGTGCGGCGCGGCCCCCTGCAAAACTCGCGCACGTGGGCCCGCGGCGGCCTCGCCGCGCGCGCGTCGGCGAAGCCGTCCCTGCGCCTGCCCCAGGCGCAGCAGATCTCGCCCCCAGGCGCTGACCAACAGAAGCGGCCGTCCGCGCGCTTCTCCCAGAGGCCCTGGGGGGCCGCCCTGCCCAGGCAGGCTGCGCCGAAAGCCGCGACGGCGCGCTGGCCGGGCTGCCGCCTGCGCGGACGCCAGCCGGAGCCGCGCCTTGGGCAGCAGCGCGCCTGCGCTGGCGCTGGCTGCCCGGCGACGGCGGCGCGTTGCCCTGGGAAGCCCGCTGCCAGCGCCGGCGCCCACGGCGCGCTTCGCGGGCCCGCTGACCCCCGGCTGTCTCCGAGAAGGCGCTGGCCTGAGACTCCGCCCAGGTCCGCGCCACTTTCGCCGCCCCGTGCAAAACCTGCCTGCAGGGCCCCCTGAGGCTGGACACCCAGAAAGCAATGGCGCCCGCCCCCTGGGCCCCGGCCAGGAGGATCGCGTTCCACGACCTCTCAGCGTCATAATACGAAAGCTGCGGCGCGAGAGCGTGGGCAGCGGCCTGGCGGCCCCGCTCGCCAGCGCGAACTCGCACCTGAACGCCCAGTCGACCTCCACGCGCAACGCCCGCGCATCGGACCCTGGGAGGGACCTCGCCACACATGCGACATGGTCCTCGTCGATGCAACCTGCGGCTTGGCAGCCAGAAGTCGCAAAGTTCCACGCCCCCAGCCAATCCTCCAAGCACCCAGGGCCGTGGAAACGCTTCGGGATCCACTCCCCCGCGTCGTTCCAGTGGTGCGCCGCAAGAGCGACGGCCCGGTGGCGGCGCGCATCGCACGGGCCCCAGATCCCGAGATCGCAGGCCAACATATTGTGCCTGATCTCGCACAACCGCGCAATGATGATGAGCTGGTCGTCGCTCAACTTCACCGCCGGGTTGTTTGGCGCGGGCGATGCTACGCCCCACCTTTCCTCCATCTTGGCCAAGGCCCCGGGTGCGAGCGGAAGGGCCTCCACTCGCACAGCAGGGTCCCAATGATGGTTCAACTTGAGGGTGCGGCGTTCGATGCAATAAAAACCAATAAGCGTGTTTACTGAAGGAAAACGGAGATGGTACCGGTTCACAGGGACCTGTGGGATGAGGCCTCGCGGGGCCTCGCACTTTTCCTGGGCTCGGTTGCGCGCGAGCGAATCTCTTCTCGCCAGAAGCTCAAGGGCCCTCCAGAGCCAAACAGCGACGGAGG